GGGCCTGCTACCTTCAGCTCACCAAGAAGGTTAGTAAAACAGAGTTACGTATAGACACCATCACCACCAAGGCCTTGGAGGAGGAAGAAAGTAGGCCGAGGGCTGAGCCTGCCGAGGAGACTGAAGACCTGATACTCAATCCGGCCAAGCCGGAGAGAGTCCTGAAGATCGGAGCCAAGCTCCCCGAAGACCTGAAGGCTGGCATCACCGAGGCCCTCCGCGCCTACTCCATTGTTTTTGCATGGGGGCCGGAGGATATGCCAGGAATCGACCGAAGGGTTATCACCCACCGCCTAGCGGTGGACCCTTCGGCCAAACCAGTACAACAACGAAGAAGGCCCCTCTCGGCCGAGAGAAGGGAGTTCGTGAAGAAGGAGGTATCCATGCTCCTCTCCATCAAACACATTAAGGAGGTGAAATACCCTTCTTGGTTGGCGAACGTAGTCCTCGCACAAAAGCCTCCTACCTTCCGCATGTGCGTGGACTACACTGATCTGAATAAGGCATGCCCCATGGACCCCTTCCCCTTGCCAAACATTGACCAACTGGTAGATGAGACCGCGGGATGTGAAATCATGTCATTCCTCGATGCATTCCGCGGATATCATCAGATCTACATGCATGAGGGAGACGCTGAAAAAACAGCCTTCATGACACCCGAAGGCATCTTCTGCTATCTTGTGATGGCCTTCGGCCTCAAGAATTCAGGCGCCACCTACACACGCATGGTGGCTAGGGTTTTTCAAGCTGTCCTAGGACGCACCATGGAGGCTTACGTTGATGACATGATCGTCAAAAGCAAGAAGGCAGACACCCACGCCGACGACCTCCGGGAAATCTTTGCCATCATGCAAAAATTCAATCTCCGGCTAAATCCGAAGAAGTGCACCTTCGGCGTCCAAGGAGGGAAGTTCTTAGGCTACATGGTCAGCCGAAGGGGTATTGAGGCCAACCCCGAGAAGATCCAGGCCATCGTCGACATGGAGCCTCCACGCAACGTCAAAGAAGTTCAGCGGCTGACGGGTCGCCTGGCGGCCCTCAACCGATTCCTCTCTAAGTCAGCCGAGAGGGCCCTCCCCTTCTTCCAAATCATGAGGAAGACGGCGGGTTTCCAATGGACATCTGAGTGTCAGGAGGCCTTCGACGAACTCAAGAAATACCTCTCTTCTCCCCCAGTGCTCTCCAAACCGAAGGTGGGGGAGACTTTATACTTATACCTCGGTGTTAGCCCTGCGGCTATCAGCTCAGTACTGATCCGAGAGGAAGACGGCATCCAACATGCCATCTTCTACGTCAGCAAAACCCTCCGGGAGGCCGAACTCAGGTATTCTCCCGTCGAGAAGACAGTGCTAGCGATCGTTTGGACCGTCAAGAAGCTTGGCCACTACTTTCAAGCTCATCCAGTCCAGGTGCTCACTCATCAACCCCTCGGCGCCCTCATGAGGAGTCCCACTAGCTCCTCTCGGATGGTGAAATGGGCCATATTCCTCAGTCAATACGATATAGACATTCGTCCGAGGCCTGCCATTAAGGGCCAAGCCTTGGCAGACTTCGTGACGGAATGCACCGCAAGGTCAGCGACTGACGAGGAGCCCTCGGCACCCCTCGATGAATGGTGGACCCTCTATACCGACGGCTCCTCGGCCACCAAAGCATGCGGAGGGGGAGTAGTCCTAATCACACCCGAAGGCTTCCGCGCCTATTATGCCATCCGCTTCTCCTTCAAAGTCTCCAACAACGAAGCCGAGTACGAAGCCCTCCTCTGTGGCCTTCGGCTGGCAGCAAATCTGAAGGCTAAGATGATCCACGTCAAGTGTGACTCCAAACTTGTTGTGGGTCAAATTTCCGGGGAGTACGAAGCCAAAGAAGGGAGGATGAAACAATACAAAGAAGCGGCTAAAGAGTTGCTCAAGGTGTTTGAGGCGCATTCTCTCACCCAAATACCGAGGGCTCAAAACTCCGAGGCCGACATTCTATCCAAGCTCTCGGATGAATCCCCTGAGCACCTCTCGAAGATTGCAAGAATTGAGGAGCTCAGCCTCTCAAGTATCCACGCAAGCCCCGTCATGAACATTAACCTAAGGCCAGAAGATTGGATCTCCGACATCGTCGCCTTCGTCACCACAGGGCAACTACCCCAAGACGAAGCCCGCGCAAAACTAACAAAGCTGAGGGCTCCCAGCTACACCCTCGAGAGTGGGAGGCTCTACAAAAGATCTTACAACGGCACCCTCCTTCGGTGCCTTCATCAGGACGAAGCCGAAGTCGCCATGGAGGAAGTGCGCAGTGGCACTTGCTCAGCTCACCAGGGACCCTTCTCCATGTCCCGAAGGCTCATAGTTCAGGGCTACTTCTGGCCCACGATGGCTAGAGATTGTGCTGATCTAGCCCGAAGGTGCACCGCTTGCCAACACTTTCAGAAGGCCCCCGGCAGACCAGCGGTCAACTATGCCCCCATCAGCACCGCTATCCCCTTCTCCAGATGGGGTATTGATTTAGTGGGCCCTCTGCCGAGGGGTACCTCCAACAACCGATATATCATTGTGGCCATTGACTACTTCACCAAGTGGGTAGAGGCCGAACCCCTCGCCAGCATCACGGAGGCCCGGTGCCGTCACTTTGTCCTCAAGAACATTCTCACAAGGTTTGGCGTCCCCCAACAAATCATCTCCGACAACGGGACCCAGTTCGAGGCAGCCCCCTTCTGTGCCCTCCTTGAAGCTTGGGGCATCAAGCACACATTCTCTTCCGTTGCCTACCCTCAGGGCAACGGACAAGTAGAAAATGCCAACCGCACCCTCCTCGAAGGGTTGAAGAAGAAGCTGGAAGCCGAAGGGGGAGGCTGGGTAGAAGAGCTCCACAACATCTTATGGGCCTACCGCACCACCCCTCGGCGCGCAACAGGCGAAACACCCTTCTCCCTATGCTATGGCTTCGAGGCTAAGGCTCCAACAGAAGTGACTCTTCCCACCCGAAGGGTTGAACAATATGAGCCCGAGGCAAACGACGCCAACATGGCCCTCGACCTTCACCTCATCTCAGAGCGCCGAGAGCAAGCCTTTCTCAAGGCCGAAAACTATAGGAGACAAGTCAAAGGATACATCGACGCCAAGGTCCGCTCCCGGGAATTCCAGGTGGGAGACTACGTCCTCCGACGAAGGGAGGCCAGTCTACCCACCGAAGGAGGGAAGATGGCGCCCAAGTTTGAGGGCCCCTACATCATCTCGGCCATCATCCAACCGGGGACATATAAATTAAAACGTCCTAATGGGACAGAGATTCCTAGACATTGGAATGTGCACCACCTAGTCAAGTTTTACCAATGAGCGGCCAAGCCCTCATCCTCAACAAGTGTAAATATCAATGGCCCAAGGCCCCATCTGTTCTTGAAGAATAATCACCTACAAGCCTTCATCACCTACATATTACACAAGTGGCCCAAGGCCCCCTTCTCCCATACAATTTAGGTACCAAGTACCAAGTGTATGGGTCACCCCCATCACTCTTTGAAAACACCAAGTGTTTTCTCACTAAGCCGTACCCCACGAGGACGCAACCATGCATACATTATGCATACTTTTACATACTCTCCTAAAAAAAAAAAAAAAAAAAAAAAAAAAAAAAAAAAAAACGGGGGGTACAACACCCCTCGGCTCCGGCTGGTACCAAGTGCCCCCGGCTATTTGTGTTCCACACACAAATAAAACCCTTCCCAGGAACGCTTTCCGCGCCATCCCCCAAGGGGAGGCAGGCCACGGACCATGTCCCGGGCCCAGGATTCGACTTCCACAAACGAAACGCTCCCCGCGCTATCCCCCAAGGGGAAGCAGGCAACAGACCATGTCTCGGGCTGAGGGGACGACTTTCAAAACCGAGGCGCTTTCCGTGCTATCCCCCAAGGGGAAGCAGGCAACAGACGATGTCTCGGGCCGAGGAAACGACCCTCAAACCCTTCGGGATATCGGAAGGTCATTCCCGAAGGGGGAGCCAACGGTTTATTCCGTTGCCTCCCATATAGGCCAAGCCTTTCCTAGAAACCAAGTTTCTAGGCGCCTCTCCTACACGATCTAAAAAAAAAAAAAAAAAAAAAAAAAAAAAAAAAAAAAGGTGTAGGAGGGAAGGAACTCCCCGGATACTATTCTCCCCGGAGGCTCAACACTTCGGATATACATTCCCGAAGGCTCCTACAGATTCACAAGAAAATCTGGCAAACAACAAGTCATCCGACCACAAGGCCGAAGGCTTCACTGCGTAAAACTTTGGAGTACAGGAACTCCACCAAAGGCATAAGAAGAGGGCTTACTATCAAAGCTTCACCTAAATTTGGCTCGAATCAAAGACGACACGTTACATACCGAAGGATACACAAAATTCTAAGGCAAGCCGAATCTATTATCTACACGAACCGGAGGCTACTCACTAGATCTGTTGAAGACAAAGTCTCACAATTTCACTAAGTCCATAATTTCGAACCCCTCGGCAAACATATGCACCGGGGGCTCAGGCAGTTCCCACACTCGAAGGATTCGTTACAACACCAGTTGAAAGTTGGCGAGAAAATGACTAAGTCCACAAATGTGGACCCTTCGGTAGGGCTATTCTTCACCTACAGACTCATGGCCGACGGCCCCCGGCCGAGAGTCACGCTACTATAATGAGGGCCTGCAATGCAACTAGTTTTTACTTAGAATATTTTCTAAGTCCACAATGATGAGCCCCGGCGAATCTACAGTGCAGCCGAAGGCTGTGGCCAGGTTCTACTTAGAAAATATTCTAAGTCCACAAAGTTTTGCCCTCTGCCAAACATACGGAAGGAAACAAAAGCATACATTCATACACGGAGGCAGCAAATTGAAACACAAGCGCAAAAAGGACGAAAGGCATTCATTCATAAGGAAAAGGAACGAAGGCAGACAAAACATGGAGGCACATTCATTCATATAAGAAGCCCGGAGGCATATTGCATTCATTAAAAAAAAAAAACAGTGTTAACAAAGGATGTTTGTTTACAAATAAGGCCGAGGCCGAGGCCTACAACTATTACATCAAAATATGGCAAGTAAAATCTCAAGCCTGGCCCCCCCCGGTGACGTCATCCTTCAGTTTCGAGGCTGCATCATCCTCAGCTTCTTCCTCATCATCCGAGGCCAGCTTGTCCATCTCTGAGTCCTCGAGCAAAGGCCTCTCCTCGCCTTCGGGCATGGGGGTTTGGAGGTCAGGAAGCAGAGGGGGAAGACCAAACGGGGCCGGGTCGAACTCTTTCGGGTCCACCCCATGGTGCCGGGCCAACTTGCGATAAATCAGGGCTTGAGTGAAGTACTGTCCGCCTTCGAAGAAACTTTTGCCTTTCAGCGCCAACCACATGGCCCCGGACCCCTTCACCCAGCCATCGGCAGAAGCCTCCACCACTGAGGCCACCCACTGCTTCTGCTCTTCGGCCTTCCAGCCGTCGGCAATAAAAGCCGCCACCGCCTCCTCCCCTGGCCTTAGAGATAGCTTCCGCTTTAGCCTCCTCAGCTTTCTCGGCGGCTATCCTAGCGGACTCAGCAGCGGCCCTCTCGGCTTCAGCTTTCCCCTCGGCCCGGGCTTCCTCCTTGGCTGCCTCCAGTTTCTTCTCCGCCTGCCGGAGGGCCTCCTCCAAATTCGCCAGCTGCCGAATGGCCTCAGTATTGTTGGCCACCAGCTTCCTCGTCACCTCGGCGGATTTAGCCCTCTCAAGGCGATGCTGCTCCGCCCTACGAACCAGTTCCCCGAAGGCCAGGCTCGCCTGCAAACATATAAGGAGGCACTCAATATCAGATTGTTCAAAGGAAAGAAAAGAAAAGAGGGATTAAGGGCGCAAAAAACCTAAACACTTACGGTGGCCGAAGCTTGGAGAGCCTTGAGTTCGAGGGCTTCATCCCCAAACCGGCTGAGGGTGGACCGATCTACCGAGGGAGTGGCACCCTTCAAGAACTCCCTCGGGTCGAGGGTGCCATGCATGATGGCTGTTCCCTTTTTGATTGGGAAGTGTACAGTCTCAAGGGGCCAGGCCCCCTCGACAAGATCCTCCAGGGGAGCAGAGGCTGACGGTTGGCCGGCGGGGGGATCGTCAATGATCACCAGGGGGGTATCCTTTGGCTCAGCGTCCCCCTTCGATTTCTTCCTTTCCGGAGGCTTGACGCCCTTCCCGGCGTTTTTTCCGCTTGAGCTCCCCCTCCTTGGAGCCTCCGGCATCAGTACCGGCACCAGCGATCGCAGTCCCCTTCGGGGGGCCTTGGCCCTCAGGGGTCTCCTGCTTCTTCAAAAGGGCGTCCACCTGCGGTTGCGTCGGAGGCCTCTTCTCCTTCTTCTTCTTATCCTTGGCCAGTTGCCGGGACAGCTTAGAGAAAGCTTTCGGATCCATGAAATCGCCTGCAAAAGAACAAGAAGGAGTTAGAATCAAAAGCAAATCAAAGACTTACGTCTCTAAGCACTAAACAACAAGGGCCCTCGGCAACCACCTCTGATACCCGGAGAGCCCCGGTCAAGGAGAGGATATCTCTCATCCTTCTCCCCCGGCAAGCGATACCGCTGAAATTCTAATTTGAGCAGCTCCTCCGGAAGCGTGGCGGCCTTGATAGTCGTCAGCTTTTCTGAACCAGGCGGCTTCGCCTTCAGCTTTCTCCCATTGGCCTCAAGGGCAGCGTTGCCCACCTTAGGGTGTCTCTGAAAATGGTTGCGAAGAGGCCTCAGGAAGGTCACTCCCGGCATCCTGAGGTAACAGAAACGGTCCCCTCCATCCCTTGTGAGACGAAGGCACCTCCGAGAAAAGCCTCCACGCCGGCACTTGTTGGAGGTTGGCGAAGCCCTCGCTATTGGCAGCACCCCCTCGACACAGGTTGAAGGATAGAAAAAATTGATCCAATGTGGGGACAACCCCTCGGCTTCGACATTGCGAGAGAAACCCTGTGATGTACGAATGACTATTCGGGGTCAGTTGGCAAGGAGCGAGACCCACGAACCGAAGGTATTCCACCAGAAAAGGGTGGAGCGGGAATCGGAGACCCAACTCCACCGAAAGGATGTGCACCGCGTAACAGCCCTCTGGAGGATGCAATAACACATCGTCAGGCCCCGGAACCACCACCTGTGCCGACGGACCGACCAACAGTTGAATTTTGAGATACTCCGCCTCCCCGGCCTTCGTTTTCAATTCGAGGGCGGCGGTGTTGAGATACGAGTGGCCCTCGGGTATTCCCACCGGCTGACCTGCGTCGATAGCAGCCTGCTTCTTCTTCGTGGCCGCCTGGGTCTTCTTCTTCTTTTTCCCGGGAGCGACGCTTATCGGTTCCGGATCTAGGGGCCGGGAGCTACTGGCTTCGCCGGCGCCACGAAGGGGGAGTGCGGCGACGGTCACCCTCTGCCGCTCTTTCTCCTCCTCTTCCTCGGCGACTTGGAGCGCGAGGGCAAGCTCTTCGTCTTCCGCCACCTGCTCGAAGTCCTCCGCCTCCAGCTCAGTCCGAAGGGTGTCTTGGACTTCCTCGGCGATGGCAGCGTCATTGTTGACCGACGAGTGGTCACTTGAGGACTCAACCTCGGAATAGCTCTCCGATTGAACCGGGGCCTCCACGGAAATATCTTGGGAGTCGCTGGCCGAAGACATCTTCTCGAGAACAGGGAAAAGGGGGAATATAAGAGAACTAACTGGAGGCTCCTAAGTATTCCCTAACACTAGATTTAAGGCCAGTGAAGCGAAATACGCTAAGTGTGTGGGAAAGGAGGAAGAACTGACCTCAAAGATTGCGTTTGATCGAAGGCTGGAGTTTCTCTCTCTAGGAAAAATGGCAGAGCTCCGCTATCTCTCTAAGTTCGCACAAGAACAAATGAGCTCAGGCTCAGGGTATTTATAGGCAGTGGGCCTCGAGAACTGGGCCTCGATTTGAAAAGCCCATCATTACGGGCCGCCGCCTCAGCCAATGAATGACAGCCGCCCACCCCCAACCAACAAGGGCACGCCACGTCAACCCCTCCTCCAACGGCTATATTACAACGACTATATTCCGGCACCACTGAAGTGCCTTCGAATGATAGCCTCCGGCTATCACCCGCCACACCCTACGGACAAATAATTCCACCAAACGCCTTCGAGCCCGTAGCAGTATAAGCCTTCGGCTTGTCAATGTTATCACCCCTCGGGGGATCATCAACTCATCATAACTCCTTCAGCCCGAACTTGCCTTCGGCCTAAAGGAGTGGGAGACTGGGATACACCCCTCGGGGATCATACACAACCAAAAATTCTTCATGCAACAATTTACAATTGACGCATACGGCCTCCGGGCAAACATCACAATACATGCAGACAAGACATCTATGCTTTCCTCAGAAAACCCTCGACGTGTGAGGGACTGAGGGGGAGCCCCCGGCGAACATACGAAGGTTACGAGTACCTTCCCTCAGAAAACCCTCGACATGTGGGGGACTGAGGGAAGCCTTCGGCAATCAACAGAAGACAAGTTCTCAAACAAAGGCACCCAGACAGGCGATGAAGCCCCCGGAAGAATCATCACATCTACTCCTTTTCCCTCAAGTACCTTTCGGCAAAAGGAGTGAGGGACTCCTGATGGAGTATATGGCCCAGGAACCCCCGGCCCAAAGACTCCTACTAATCTATCACAAGCCCAACAAGCTCAAGGAGCTCAGGAGGCCCAAGATTCGGCGGCCCAAGCGTCAAGAAGGCCACGGTACACACAGGGATGCCTTCGGCCACCTTGGCCGAAGGCTCCAGAACTCACAGAACCGCCATATTCGACCATGCGAAGCTACTGGGAGAAATTGACAGAAAACGGGAGCCCTCGGCACTATGGAGCCCTCGGCACCAGGGGAATCCCTCGGCTCAGCCAAGCCTTCGGCTACACAAGGAGCCCTCGGCTACGCAAGAAGCCTACGGCTGAACTAGCTCAATCATCGAAGATTCCTTTTAGAGACAGCCAACCACCGCATTTAATGCCATGTCGCATCCGCCAACCGCATTCAATGCGGTTGACGTACCACTGCCGGTGCCACTAGGCTGATGTGACCCTTCGGCCGTTGGATTACTGACACGTGTCCTCTCATCGCATTTATGGCTGCTATAAATAGCAGCCCATTCCTCCTTGTAATGGGCACGACCTACATCTCAACTCCACACGCTGAGTTCATTTAATAAAATCGACTCTCTCTCCTCCTATTTGCTCTGACTTCTCTCTAGTTATTTCCGCAATAACCCTTCGGATAAGATACCCCCCGGGTAGATTGTCCATCATGTACTTTGTCCAGACTTGTATAATTTTTAGAGGAGTAAACTTTGAAGCTAGTTAACTTTTTTATTACTATTTATTGATGCATGCCTTAATTTATGTTTTTTTAAAGGACTCCCAAACCATTTTTTTTGTGTTAACTTTGAATGCATAATTTCTATTTCAAAAATTGACTTTCTTTAATTATCATTGAGACATAATTTGGGGACAAAAATTATGATTAAAGATACGCGTATGAGTATATCTTAATTACTGTATAAAAAGTTTCATTTTTATTCACTATTTTTTTATTTAGGTTACATATTCCAATGTTTCTTTAAATATATTTGGTGTGCACTTTTGGTTTTATGGATGTGCATTGTTAAATATTTGGTTTGAACTTTTAGTTGTATTGTTATTATTTATGTTGTTGAAGGTAAAATAAACTAAATCACACAATATACTTTCAAAAAAATTAAAACATAGAGTGCACAATATTTCAAATTAAGAATAAGTGTACAATTTTTTCACAAATGTAAATAAGTGCATAATAATATACTAAAAGTGCATATTTAATTTTGAGTACGTAAGTACACACATCTATAGTTTTGCGTAGTTTTGCAAATGTAAGTGCACTATTAGAATAATAATAATAATAATAATAATAATAATAATAATAATAATAATAATAATAATAATAATAATAATAATAAAAGAGCACGGACATTATTTCTAAAAGTGCTATATATTTATAAATATGTAATTACACATCGATGTGTGATAAAAGTGCATAAGTTTTGCAATATGAGTGCACCACATGAACAATAAAGTTGCACTTTCATTTTGTCATGTCTCAAGAAGAAGAAATACTAATACATAATTGTTAATTTATAACATGCAAAATAAGGATAATATGAGAATATCATCTGATGAAAGAAACGAGAATAATTCTGGAGTGTTGGATTTGGGTGTCGTGCATCATGCAAAACAAAAATGTGCATATAAAAAATTATAAAATGTGTCTTTCAACTGTGCAAAAGTTTAAACGTAGATGTGCACATTTGAATTTTGCATCACTTTAACTATAAATATGCATTTTCGTGCATGATAAAGTGCAACACTTTTGGAGCATTCTCATTTCTCACGTGAAGGAGTATTCTCACTGGAACCGCACCCCAACATGCATACACTGTGATTAAGAACATATATGCAAATACAAATGA